GGGCATCTTGCAGTCACTGAGTCGACCATGAACCAAATCAATCCCAAAGTATTCTAGAGTATTCTACACTGCTGAGGCTCGGCTGAAATAGTGTGTTGCAACAAGACAGCACGGCAGCAAATCTACAACAGAATGGCTGAAAGAAAAGAAGCAAGATGTTGCAATGGTCCAGTCAAAGTCCAGACCTCCACCTGATTGAAACGGCATGACCTTAACAGAGCTGTCAATGAATGTCCACAAACCTCAATGAACTGAAGCAATGTTAAGAGGAGGCCAAACTTCCTTCACAACAGTGTAGGAGACTTGTAAAGTTTTTCCTGTTAAATGTGCTTCTACAAGCTACCGAGTCATGGGGTGTACTTAGCTTTTCACACACTGCGTCTGCCTTTTGGCTTAGTTTTTATGTTGTTGTTCATCTCAAGTTTCACTTACCTAATTTGAAAACCTTGTAAGGACAGATGCTTTACTTTTTACCTGATCTGTGCATTTCCTTGTTTTTTATCATCATTTGATAAACTAAAATGTCTGTTAGGTTTGAAGTTTATTGATCAATGTTAGCACTCTTACATTTCAGGTAAATAGTATAACTCATAAAACTGTCAAAACACATTTCATAAACCTTTCAAATGAGGTCAGTAACAAACCAGCACACTACCATTATTGAGACACTAGTCTAAAGGCTCTGCAGTGTTGCTGTGTCGTGCTGCTTGAATTCAGCAACACGGCATTAATCACTGTCCAGTAATGTTTGCGCTGTAGTGTGCGGGAATGTGTGAATTGTCTCCTGTGTAAAATTTGTTTGTGGACACCTCCAGGTGCAGTCTGTCATGTCCATTTGCTCTACAATGAGCTTTAGGTCAAACTTCCGGTGTATGCGCTTTGTTATTTTTAGTGCTGTGCCACCATCATCTTTAGCTTTAGGAGTTCCATCAGCATGTAGAAGAATCAGACAGAGCATAAAATACCTATTTTTCAGTTACATATGTCCAGAGAAGGAGTGGAAAGTAGTGCGTTGAGCACTGAAAGGACTGTGGCCGATGATTTAGATACATGTTCGCACAGTGCCAGGGACTCTGCACTGAAAGCAGAGCCAATTCAAATATAGCACACACTCTTGGGGAAAAGTTTCCTTGAAAAACTTGATTTATGACAGTCCAGAGTGATTCAGTGAGGCCGCATGGCGTGATTAATGCAAACAGATTTTCTTAGGCAACACAGTAACCTTTGCTCAGTTGGCACATGCAGAAATCCTTTTTTTTTTTTTTTTTTTTT